CTTGTTCCTGATCTTAGAGGAAATGCTTTCAGTTTTTCATCATTGAATATGATGTTAGCTGTGGTCTTATCATATATGGCCTATATTATGTTGAGGTATGTTCTCTTTATACACACTTTGTTGAGAGATGTTGAATTTTGTCAAATGCTTTTTCTGCATCTATTGAGATGATTGTATAATTTTTATCCTTCATTTTGTTAATGTAGTGTACCATAATGACTGATTTGCAGATGTTGGACCATCCTTGCATCCCTGGAGTAAATCCCACTTGATCATGGTGTATGATCCTTTTAATGTACTGTTGAATTTGATTTGCTAATATTATACTGAGGATTTTTACATTGATGTTCATCAGGGATACTGGCCTGTAATTTTCTTTCTTGTGGTGTTACTTGTCTAGTTTTGGTGCACCAGCTCTTTAAAGCTTCTTCCCAAAGCAAGTCTCATGGCCACACTTAACTTCAAGTGGGCAGAGAAGTATAATCTTATCATATGTCAAGGAGAGAGGATGAGAATATTTGTTAACAGCTCTAATCATTACTATACCTGCGAAGTCAGAGGAAACACCTCTGATTATTACTCTATATTACTTTTATTGTTTGACCACTTTACAAAGAGCATATGTTACTTTATCATTTAAAAACACATTCACATGTAGATTTCGTATCTGTCCATAGATGAAGATTTATACTTTGGACTGTGGGGTGAAAACTGAGGAAATGCTACTGTCTGATTATAGTAACCTTAACTACAAGTTCAATTTTAAGTGTCGGTAATAAACTTGTTTAAAAAGGGTGTATCGGCAGGGTTAATGTAATAAACTAACATCAAATTCTACAAATGGTTTTTAGTTTTCTATTAAGCTACACAGATTAGTCTAATAAACTGGCAATTATCCATCTCCCCATTGGCCTCAAAAATGTGAAGCTGTCTCTTTTAGTCCTCAGAATAAATATGTGTATGTGCAACCTGGGTATTATTAACTGCAATTTGTAAAAAAGGAAACTGAAGTGTGAGACACATAGCAGTTAATTCAATGGGCCATGATTTTCCCCCCAACATTTTATTTTAAAAATTCAAACAGATAGAAGAGTTGAAAAAACTTCTCAGTGCATACTCAGAAAGCCAACACTTAGAATCTATATTTAACATTTTGCTACGTTGGCTTCATCACATATATATTCATCTATCTATCATCTATTGATCTTATTTCTTATTCATTTCAAAGTAAGTTGCAGACAGCAGTATCCTTCACCTCTAAACATCTTAATTAGATTTCAATATTTATATTCTAAAAGTTAAGTTATATATTAGAATGCACAAGTGTATACTTGAGTAAGTTCTAATAAATACATCCACCCATGTAACCAAAATCTCTATCAAGATATACAACAATTCCATTATCCCAGGAAGTTCCCTCACATTGGGCCTTGATTTGAACACAAGATCTGTCTCTAAAGTCCATGGTCTTTGCCACAACACTATGCTACTTCTTTTAAAAAGGCCCAATGTATAAATACATTAAACAATAAGAATTCTATTTCTAACCCTCAGTAATTAAGGTAGCTGAAATATGGAAATATGAAAGGTAGAAAATACTAGAGATTCCCTCCACTAAAGCCAGACAGCCTAGGTATTTAATATCTGTAGCACAGTGACTGTACCACTTTCTGTTTACTAATTTCCACTGAATAAATAAAAATATCTACTTCCTTCCCCAAGAGTTAAAGAATTAATCAAGGAGGTATGGACATGACAATAACAACCATTACATATGTTCATCTCTTATACCTTCAATTAAACTAATAATGCTTCGGGGCAAGACCATTTCTTAGGCTTGTAAGGCAAGCATTAGGTCAAGTGCTATACACTTTAATGATTACTATGAGAGGCAGTGAGGAACTGGAGAAAACACAAAACCTTTGGAATCAGCCAAATCTGGATTCAGATCTCTTCATATTTATTTAGCTATATAACCACGTACAAGTTAAACTTCTCTAAGCCTCAGTATATCATATGTAAAATGAGGCCTATATTTGGCCTTCCTGTCAATGTCAGGTTTCTCAAATAGACGATCTACAAGCAGACACAGGCAAGAGAAGCCCCTACCCTGGACTTCAGGCTTTTGGGGGAATTTTATGTAACAGTTTGTTAATTTAACTTAGTATGTATATGGTATGTAGGTCTAAATTTATATTTGCTCCAGATCCTGCAGATATTACAAATGGGCCTGTCTGTATCTACTACTAATAACCTAACATGTGTATTGCCATATTCACTTTCAAATATTACCCTATTTAGTCATACAACATTATCATGAGTTAGGTTTCATTAATCCCATTGTGCAGATAAAGAAACAGATGTGGTTAAGAAACCTACCCAGTGCCCTTATCTTCTACCACCATATCACTCTCTTCTTAACTCCGAAATATCTGAGCTTCCTCCTCTAACATATTATCAATATTTCACTCTCCAAGACAATATGCCCCTAATCCCTAAATCTAGTCCCTATTTTCCATGACCTCTCGGTAGCACCTGATACTGTTAATAATTTTTCCTTGCTTAAAACAACTTTCCCTTTGGTTTCTAAGGTTAGACTATTTCTTCTCTTAGCTTTTGCTCTTTTTCTGTCTCCTCTTGTTAAGAGTTTTGGTGAAGAATGAATAAGATAATGTTTTTGGAGAGTGTCAGCATAAAGCATATATTCAATAAAAGGTAGGGTTTCTTTTTAACCTAAAAAGAATAGCTACCATTTTTAAGAATGGTGTCAATTACTCTACTAGGTGATACACACACATGCACACAAACTATTCCATTTATCCTAAAAGCACCATAAAATTGAAGTTCAGATTGGCTGACAAATTAACCTGTATTAGAAACCTGGCTCCAACAATTCCTAAGTTTATGATACTAAGTCACTTAACTTCCCTGAGCTTCTGCTTCTCCATCGTGTAATTTTATAATGTTCTTGTGAGAATTAAATGAAACACAGGATATAAAAACACAAAGTACATGGTACACAGTCAGTAAATGTTAAACTCCTTTCTCTTCTTGTTGCTACCAGGTGAATACATTAATTTTTTATCCTTCCCTTGTGTGCATTTCTAAAAACTAAGTCCTTGATCTCTTCACCTTCTTTCTTTATACTTTATACCTACACTCTGTCACACTTGTGAGTCCAACTCCTCCAGAAAGACAGTTTTGAATTATCTGTGACCATTTCTAAGTGTGCAGGCCCACATCTCTTAGTTTTGCTAGTTCTTTCTACTTGAGAATCCCACTGCCTACCATATCAAACTGCTCCTTTCCCTCACCAAGAATGGAAAGCAAAAGACTGGGAGTGGGTGACATAAAATACTACACAGACAAAATTGATAGGATTCATGATAAAGAAGCTAATTTTATGGTTTCAAGCTTGCCTGAGAAAAGTACAAAACTGGAGAAGATTCTCATAGATCATGTCCAAAATTTTCTCCCCTTTTCCTCATTCTTCAGACATGAAACTCTAATCCTTCTATTTCCCTAACCCACAAAGCCAAAAGTGTTCCCATTCCATTGAATTCCCTTACATTTAAATGCTCCATTCATCTAACACCTAATAATACTCTATCTTCTATTACCAATTTTCTTACATTTACATCTTATCTTCCTAACTATGCTGTAAGTTCTTTAAGGCCAATAACCATCTCTTATACTTTTATTATTGTTCATAATGCTAATCGACTACTGCTATGAAGATATGGTCAAGAATTCAGAAATTATAAATTAAGATGCTTTCAGATCTTTTTCTGACATGGAAGGAAAACTTTTCAAGTCAAAAGCTCTGATCCACAAATAGAGAAGGTGTGACAAACAGGAAATTTTCTATTTCCCTCTCAAGGATTTCAGTTTTGGCTTTAAACAGAAAAAAAATCCTTTAACATATATTTCCTTAGTCATGTGTTAATACTTTATAAATTATTTCCAGGAACTGTGCAAGCTTTTCTTCAAAAATTACTTATACCAGCATACCTTGGAGATACTACAGGTTCGGTTCCAAACCACCACAATAAAGCAAATATTGCAATAGTCACACAAATTTTTGGTTTCCCAGTGCATATAAAATTTATGTTTATACTATTACTGTATTCTATATTAGTGTTCAATGGCATTACATCCTAAAAAAACAATATACATACCTTAATTAAAAATACTTTATTGCTAAAAATTGCTAATCATCATCTGAGCCTTCAGCAAGTCATAATCTTTTTACAATAGTGACAACAAAGATCACTGATGATGGATCACCATAAAAAATATAATAATAATGAAAAAGTTTGAAATATTTAAAGAATTGCCAGAATGTGACAGAGAGACATAAAGTGAGCAAATGCTGTTGGAAGAAAGATGCCGATAGACTTGCTCCATGCAAGATTGCCAAAAACCTTCAATTTGTAAAAAAACACAATACCTGAGAAGCATAGTAAAGCAAAAGCACAGTAAAATGAGTTATGCCTGTATTTTCTAATACAGTTACTAATCATTAATTTCTGTAGGAAAATAATTCCTAAAACTATAAGTCTCAAAAACCACACAATGTAGACTGATGTGCTATTTATTAAATATTAAATAATTTTAAAACTTTCAAAACCGAGATGATAAAAATAGTTTATTAAAAGAAATGGCTTTCGGGCTTCCCTCGTGGCGCAGTGGTTGAGAGTCCGCCTGCCAATGCAGGGGACAGGGGTTCGTGGCCCGGTCCGGGAGGATCCCACATGCCGTGGAGCGGCTGGGCCCGCGAGCCATGGCCGCTGAGCCTGTGCGTCTGGAGCCTGTGCTCCGCAGCGGGAGAGGCCACAGCAATGAGAGGCCCGCGTACCGCAAAAAAAAAAAAAGAAATGGCTTTCTTCTTTGGTTGAATATATTTCATAACTGGGAAAATTTGATTAAATTAATTTTCATTACTGTGATCAAAATAGAACTGTAGGATAATAAAACTGATTTTGATTTGCTTATTTTACCTGAGTAGCTTTATCTTTCATGCATGAAGGGTAATGAACATGAGGATCTCGTGGCCACTGTCCTGTGAGATAAGGTCCTGTTATCGTATCCAAAGAAGAGGTTCGCCTTATTGTACCAGAGGTTCGAACTTGATGAGATTTTGGCCTGTCCACTATAAAAAAGTGAAAAAAGATTAGTCACTAATGAATAAAGTAAAACTTAAAATTATTTAACCTTCATCGTTTGTAAAATATCACTCTGTCAGTTTTCCCTACAATATACATTTACCCTAATAGCCCTCCTGCATGATGCGATGAAATTTATAGACCCTCTCCCAAAGGAAAATACATTCACATATTAAATTTTGCATACACTTCCAGGGCTGTCACACCCTACAAAGCCCATCCATTTTAGAGGCCTATTCTAAAACCTGTATATCATCTCCACTGCCATTACTTTAATTAAGACTTCATCATGTCTCAACTGCCAGTTTCCTAAATGCTATCTCTGCATCCACCCTAACTAAATCTTACAGTACCACCTCCCTCCACTGCTTAAAAAAATTTCCATGGTTATTCACTGTCTTTAACTTAAAGCCCATTATTTTTCACAATTCAGCTCCCATATACATCAATACTTGATGTCTTGCTACTCCTCCATAAACCCATGTTAACTACTAAATGCCATATGAACTAACTGCAATTTCCCAAATGTAAAACACTCAGTTCTCTGCCTCTATACCTTCTATTATCTCCTGCACCTAAATGTTCTCCTTCCCTGTTCACTTGACAAAAACTTATCTTGAAGATCAGCTCAGGTGTCACACTGCCTCTGTGAAACCTTTCCCAATGCCCTTCTTTTCTCCATCTCTGTCCTTTTTAAAGATATACACACTCTCTGCTTGCGTGGAGCCCTAAATTTGTCTTTCTTCCCCAACTAGAGCATAAGTTTGGCCCCTACGGATTGAAAAGAAGTTGATGCTCAATACTTATGAATGAATTTATTCACAGCTACACAAAAATAACATGTATAAAGAATCTTACATTTTAATTCAGCTTCCTCATTTATGGATGAAGAATTTGAAGCCCAGAGGGATAAAATTAAATCGTCCAATGAAACAGAACTGCTAACAGGTGATAAGAGGTAAAAAGGAACCAAGATCTCCAGACATTCTACACAGTTCAATCAATCTACTATAATAATCTACTTCTCCTCTCCATATAGGTACCATAGGTACCCCTGCTGAAAATTAAAATGATCATACTGAACTCTATAGTTTCTTTACAGAGAAATTATAAAGGATTTTTCATATATGCATCTCAAATAAGTTACTACTAATGTGCATTGAATAATAAAATCCAGTGGATTACAAGCACCAAGGCTCAGTCTTACTCAGAGTTATATCTCACATCAAACAAAATGTCTTGCACATTACAGAGGGCCAAGAAACATTTGTTATTGAATACTGTCCTTTAACTATCCTTCTGAAACCAAAATACAAAATTGGGTTTTTAAAATCAGAAAACAAAAGAAAATGCAGCATACTGTGAACTATCATATTATTTACATACAGTCGTCCTCAGTTCTGTGGGGGACTGGTTCTAGGACCCTCACGGATACCAGAATCTGAGGAAGCTCAAGTCCCTTACATTTGGCCATCCACCTCTCCAGGTTCCACATCCTTGGACACAGAGGGCTGGAGGGCCAATTTTATCTTACAACTGCAGTTCTGATTTCTTCTTTGACCCAAGAGTGTTAGAGAAGATCTGAAAATTACAAAATTTCCTCCCTATCTTTATTACTTAGCTCTAATTTTATTTTGCCATAGGCAGAGAGTCAGGACAGTCTATTTCTACTCTTTGGAATCACCTGAAATTTTATCTGTGACCAAAAATCATGGTCAATTTTTATAAATATTTCATGAGTCATGGAGAACATATATTTTCTGTTTTTAGAATACAGTTATTTTTCTTGTACATCAGCTGAAATAAAAATATAGTAATAATAAAATTATTAGCTTTATCTGTCACAGACTTAGAGAACTACTCTAAAATTTCTAAACTACTCTTGAGATAAAACAATTCTCTTTATCTCTTGCAATTTTTATCATTTAAATTTAGTTCTGGGGAATTCCCTGGCAGTCCAGTGGTTAGGACTCTGCACTTCCACTACAGGGGGCATGGGTTCAATCCCTGGTCATCGGGGAACTAAGATCCCGCAAGCTGCGCCGTGTGGCCAAAAACAAGAAACAAACAAAAGAAGTTTGTAGAAATTTAGTTCTGTATAATTTGGTTACATATTGATTCATGACATCATCATTATGGCTTATATGCTTCACCATTGTAGTCTGTTCCATTTATTACTTTTAAGCTCTGTCAAATTGAACATTATCACCCCTTTATGCTTTCCTTCTATTATAATGTATCTGGTTTGCCTATTCTTTTATTTTCAATTTCTTTCAGTCATGCTGTTTCGGTGTGACTCTTGTATACTGTATGCAATTAGGCTTTTTGAAAAAATTTTAGAGTATGTCTTCTCCTTATAAAAGGTATGTTCATCCCACTTACATTTGTTATAACAAACTTGATTAAATCTGTCACATAACTTTTTTCTTCCTCTTATAATTCTTCCTTGCTACTTGTTTTCCATGTCTTACTATTTACTTCTTTTTCTCCTTCTTACGTTTTCCCCTACCACAGGTAATTTAGAAGATATGCAGATTGTTTTTAGTTCTATTACTAGGAATTACTTCTATTAATTCTTTTAAATATTTTTTTCTGGCTATAAAAGCAATATGCACAGATTTTAGCAACTTTACGAAACATGGAAAATTAACATGTCTCTCTCATAATCTGATTTATAATAATTTGTTTAAAACTTCTTAAAGTTACTTTACATTCCCTCCACCAAGAAAAAAAAGACAAAAACAGTTTATCCCTTGAAAAAGAACATTTATAGCAATAAAAAAGGCCTACATAAAGGACAGCCACAACCAGAAAATGAAAAGCCACTACATGCGAAAAACTTGTGCCTGAACTTTAAACTGCTCCAAACTATTATGAAAGTTGTATGTAGTCTACTTATAGTTATTAAAACCCCTGTTAACTTGGTGAACAATAGGAATCATTTTTATGTTTTATAATAAGTATATAAAGAATCTATAAACAAATCCCTTGATACATATAGTATTCTAGTCTATACTTTTTTATTATATTGTTAATCACTGGACCTTTGTCTATCACTTTCAAAGGATCCCATTTCTCCCCTTCGTGTCCATTCTCCCTGATTAGCTACTGTCAGAACAGTGGCCTTCAAGTTATTTTGACTGAGTACTCCTAATAGTAAATATCTAAGTATGCAGCAATATGTGCAGTTATTTATTTATAAATGAGGTATATATTATATTACTAATATGTTATATATAGTATAAACCTAAGTAGAAATTTACACGATATAAAAAATAAAAATATGTATGAAAAAAATGGAAGTTACATTTTCTTCCTGTACCTCATAAATGGGTGGCCTTACTTCGATGTGAAGACCACTGGGATAAGGGACTTTAAATTGGGTGCTCCCAAGTCCCAAGGACCAGTGGCAGCCATCAACTTGGACTCTGAAAACCTAGGCTCCAACATTTGGTGTAGAAACACTCACCTTGTGCTGAGTATCAGAGGGGGGCATTCTTACCAATGAGAGAGCCAAGAAACAGATTTGGCAACCTTTTTCTGGGACAGCGTGGACCAGCACTTCTGGTGTCATTAAATTCATGAGTTTTCTTGTATTGTCCCTTAACCAAAGAGGAGCTTTTGTACTTTTAAATGTTGTATAAATGTGTTATATTGGGTGAGAGCCTGAGGTTTTTGAACTGGAAAATTCCTGAAATTTATATCTCCATGCGGTTACCATAAACATACTGTAATAAAAGGGAAAAATATGAACTGGGTGCTAAATTCAGTCTACAGATTGGCCAGTTAGCTCTAGTTCTGTGATATAACACTATTGCTTAATTGTGTTAAGAATGTGTAAACAAGCATCACACATTACCAATACCAAAAAACAAAAACGGTCTGCCTTAAATAGAAAGAATAAGGTAGGACAACATGGTATCGGTATCCTGTTATAAAATTCGCTCTATCAGTCATGATTTTTTAAAAAATTATAGTATATGAAGTAAATATACTTGAAAGGTTATATTTCAAACATATGCTTTAAAAGATTCTCACCAGTGCTCATACAAGGAAAATTTCAAAGATATGTAGTTGTTAGTAATTTCCATGTAAATTATTTGAAGGGTAAAAATTCAAAATAAGTTTAAAAATTGGCAAGGATAGTACTCTTCCAAGATATGATTAGCCATAATAACCCCACTTAACCAAATATCAGTGGGGCCTTATTTACCAACAGATTCATCATAAGCAGTGCGATTCTATTTTAATAGATGAGTTATTCCTATTATCCAAACTGTCACGGCAATGAGTTAGATTTTAACTGCCTCAACATCTAAGCCTTGATTCTCCCAAATTTTTATTTATTTAATTTGCGGTATTATCACCTACCAATTCAGGTTTTACAATTTAGTGCAACAATAAAAATCAACACTGGTTTTGCATTATAGTAGTCCCCTCTCATCCTCAGTTTCACTTTCCACAGTCAACCATGGTCTGAAAATATTAAATGGAAAATTCCAGAAATAATTCATAAGTTTAAGATTGGGGGGCAGAGTCAAGATGGCAGACTAGGAGGACATGGAATTCTCGTCTCCGCACAACTAGGGCACCTACCAGGCACTGGTGAGGGACCACAGACACCTAAGGGGACGGGAGAAACCCCCAGCGACCGGGTAGGACGTGGGGCGTGGGGAGAGTGAGAGGGGGAGAAGAAGTGGAGGTGGGATGGGACTGGCGCCCCTAAGGGGTAGCTGGGGGAGGGGAAGGGAAATTGGGGGACCATTGGGAGGGCAGAGGATCAAAAGGGAGCGTGGCCAGGTCTCCCTTGCCCACTTGGGCCCCTGGGAGCCTGCTGAGATCCCGGTCCTGATCCTCTGCCCACGAAGGCCCCCTCCAGCTGCATGGGTCCTGAGGGAGTGGGAGGGAGGGAGGGAACGGGGAGCAAAAGTAAAGGCCAGACCTACGGGACTGGAACCCCTGAGGGGTGGCTGGGGGAGGGAAGGAG